ATTACATTCATTCTGGGAAATGATTTAGCTGGTGGGAATGTTTGGGGACGGAGTGATGTGGCAGCTCCACCCATAATAGCATCTACACCTAGGAAATCTGATGTTGGAAATGGCAAAGAATTTCCTGATTTGTTTCCAGCATGTGCAGTTACTCGATCAATGGCTAAACCATTATCTGAAAGTCAAGTTGAAGTTCCACTGCATGATACCTTCTTCTATACTGTTCATACAGGTGATTCCGGATCAGATGTGTCTAAATGTCCTGAGCCGAGAGATCTGAAGTCCTGTTCTTCGTTGTCTTCTGACCAGAGAGAGTCGACAGTGTTGCGACATGAATCTAACGATACATCAGAGGTTCTGTCCACTCTTGAGAAAACCAATGTTGATCTCTCTGATGTTGATGATTGTTCTCTGACTTCTTTGTTCCAGATGTCTCGAGAGGATTTGATTAGAGCTCAACAGAGCGACGACAGTCTTAAAACTTTATTCTCTGAAGTAGAGCTTAAGAAATGTTCTGATCCTCTCTCCTCTTCGTACTTTCTTGATGATGGTCTGCTTTGTCGGAAAGTGGTCCTGCATAAAGATGTTTTTCAAGAACCTAAAAGTCAGATTGTGGTTCCTTTTATAATGAGGGATTCTGTGTTGCATTTGGCTCATCAAGGACTTTCTGGTCATACAGGAGTTCGTAAAACGTGCGATCGAGTCTTGCGACAGTTCTATTGGCCTAAGGTGAAACGGGATGTGGCAAAACATATTCGATCTTGTCATACATGCCAGATCACCGGTAAGCCAAACCAAAAAGTTCCTGTTGCTCCGTTGCAACCTATTTCCGTCGTGTCCACTCCTTTTGAACATTTGGTAGTTGACTGTGTTGGTCCTTTGCCTCGGTCTAAGACTGGTCACCAATACCTTTTAACCGTTATGTGTCAGACTACTCGTTATCCGGCTGCTTATCCGTTAAGGTCCATCACCACAAAATCTGTCTTGAAGGCTCTCACTAATTTCATGTCGACCTTTGGAATTCCTAAAGTCATTCAGTCCGATCAAGGTTCGAACTTCATGTCGAAACAGTTCTCAAAAGCCCTGCGTCAACTTCGAGTAAATCACAATATTTCTAGCGCTTATCATCCGCAGAGTCAAGGAGTCCTTGAGAGGTTTCATCAAACCCTGAAGTCCCTTTTAAGGTCATATTGTGTGGAACTCGATGCAGATTGGGAGGAAGGTCTGCCATGGATGTTGTTAGCGATACGTGAGGTAATTCAAGAAAGTCTTGGGTTTAGCCCAAATGAATTAGTGTTCGGACATGTGGTGAGAGGACCTACGGCTGTGTTAGCTGAGGAGTGGCGTTTACCTAAACTGTCTGAAAACCTTTCGGATTATGTGAGCGGATTTCGGCGTAGATTATATGAGGCAAGAGCTCTCGCTAAAAAGAAGTTGAGTAAGACTCAACTAAAGATGCGACAACGCTTTGACAGGAAAGCTAAGTTAAGAGAATTTCAGGTGGGTGATCAAGTACTTGCTTTGCTGTCCCTACCTGCTAATCCGTTTCAAGCTAAATTTACAGGCCCCTACAGTGTAGTTAAACGTCTTTCTGATAACAATTATCTGTTGAATACTCCTGACCGGAGAAAAAAAGTACAAGTTTGTCACAGTAACCTGTTGAAATTGTATACAGCTCCTGTTCGTTCTGTCAATGTGGTAAACCTTTGTGACTCTTTCAGAATCATCTCCTCTCTCACACAAAACGAGTGGAGATTCTTTGGAGAATGCTGATGAGGACGAGGGTTTTCTTTCTCGAGGAAAAGTTGACGGGCGACTTAAGAACTCTGAGATTCTTCTTAATCTGTCCTCTCATCTTTCTTATCTGACAGAGAAGGAGAGGAGTGATGTCACTGAGTTGGTGATGTCATTTCCCTCTCTTTTCAGTGATGTTCCTGGTCGTACTTCTATCATAGAACATGATATCGACGTAGGAGCCTCGTGTCCTGTTAAACAGAACGCATATCGAGTCAATCCTTTTAAAAGAGATTTGCTGAAACAAGAGGTGAACTATCTACTTGCTCATGATCTGGCTGAATGTAGTTTTAGTTCGTGGAGTTCCCCTTGTGTTTTAGTAAATAAACCTGATGGATCATATCGCTTCTGCACAGATTATCGAAAACTCAACTCTGTGACAAAGCCGGACTGCTTCCCGTTACCTCGAATTGATGATTGCGTCGATCATGTTGGCTCTGCCTGTTATGTCAGCAAATTCGACCTCTTGAAGGGGTATTGGCAGGTGCCTTTGACTAGTCGGGCGAAAGAATTATCTGCTTTCGTTACGCCTGATGCTTTCCTACAGTATACGGTTATGCCTTTCGGGGTTCGAAATGCACCTGCGACTTTTCAGCGACTCGTAAACCGTATACTGTATGGAATGTCAGGATGTGAGGCATATCTTGACGACATTGTGTTGTATAGTTCATCTTGGTCTGAACATCTTGACCAGATCAAAGAACTGTTTTCTCGTTTAGCCAAAGCTAATCTTACGGTTAATCTCGCTAAGTCCGAATTCGCGAAGGCAACCGTTACCTATTTAGGTAAGATAGTGGGAAATGGTTGTGTAAGACCCATTGAGACTAAGGTCGAAGCTATCTGTAATTTTCCCGCTCCCACCACTCGTCGTGAACTCCGACGGTTCCTTGGAATGGTGGGATATTATCGGAGTTTTTGCGAAAATTTTGCCAATGTAGTTTCACCTCTTACTGATTTATTGAGTCCGAAGTTGTCTTTCCAGTGGACTGAACCTTGTCAGCAAGCTTTCGAAAATTGCAAGGCTTTGCTGGCATGTGCCCCTGTTTTAACAGCTCCAAACTTTGCCAAGCCTTTTATTCTTGCAATAGATGCAAGTGCTTGTGGTACGGGTGCTGTTCTCCTGCAGGAGGACTCGAACCAGGTTCAACATCCTGTAAGTTATTTTTCTAAGAAACTTAACCAACATCAACAGGTATATTCTACCATTGAGAAAGAAGCTCTTGCTCTAGTGTTGGCTGTTCAACATTTTGAAATATATCTAGGATCAATTTCTGCACCGATTATTATCTATACGGATCATAATCCTTTGGTCTTTTTGAATCGGATGAGAAATAGAAATCAGCGACTCATGCGATGGAGTCTTATCTTACAACCTTTCCATCTCGAGATCAAACATATTCGAGGAAAAGACAACGTTATAGCTGACGCACTGTCTAGAGTGTAACATAATTTTTGTATTGTCCGTTCTTTTCTTTGCATCTCTAGGGCCCAGAGGTGTTGAGGAATGAAGAGAAGACGACATACCTCTAGAGCACCAGAACTTTTATTGTGTTTGTTCTGGGTAGTGCTTAACTGTCTTTTCCCTTTGTTTTTGTTTTAGATTCGTTGCCGAATCTTTTTTTTTTGTAGGGAGGTGTTACGACCCTGCGTTTCCCTTGCTCGCCTGCTGGGGGCGGTGTTCTTCAGGAGGGCGTGGGAGATTGCACACTCCTGTTACCTGCTTTCGGTTTGATTGTGGAGAGGATAAAACCTTGGATCCTACCCTCTCCACACCACTTCGTCCAGGGGATTGGCAGCCTCTGGAGGAGTCACTTGTTTTGCGACATTTATATTTGTTTACAGACCATACCAACCTTTTCTTATTCCCCATCTGGATTATGATTTTGTCCCCTTATGATTGTGAACCCTAGACTTTGTTAACTTAAGTTATTTACACTTTTTGTAAGCTAATAAAACTTCTTGCAAGTAATTTTCTTGTACTTGTATCCCTTTATGTGCGGTCAAAACGAGCTGGCCGTAACACATGTAAAGCAAGTTAATGTACTTCTATGAAAACAGCAACTGTAACTGTCCTGCCACTCATTGTGGTTGTTAGGAAACTAACTGACACAGAAGAGACTAGCCCCCTATTCAAACAGGATTAGTTAAACATGGAGAGTTGGGGTAAAGTAATTATTACCAGAGCTTCTCAGTGATTTTATTCCCGTCTGAAATGTGCTATCTCAGTGATCATTACGAACAATGTCAGTAATGATTACGGCGACACTAATCCCGTGCAAATAGACCCCCTATAAATACGCATGTAAACATTTAATCATTTTTCTGTTTAAAAGTATTTTCCCGTGTTATTTTCAAGTATGGAGGTGCTTGAAAAAGCCTTCAAGTTGCGTTCTAGGTGGTGGGACGTCAAGTCTGTGGCATGTTATGAATATGAAGGAGGTTTCATGCATGTTTATGACAACTGTCATTAAGTGTCATTCGCTCAGTTATGACATTTTTAATGCAAATATGACATTGTTTGAGATGTTTTTGTTATGACTCCTTGACATAAACCAATACATCATAACCTGTCAGTGTCTTTGTCATGACAACTTAACATTACTAAGACAACACAACCTGTCATAAACATGACATAGCAGATTAATTATCAAACTTAAGAAAGCACTTAGCTTTCATTAAACTGTCAGGTTGTTGGTTTTGACATTGGCTGTCATGAGGCCATTATAACATTTTAATGACAAATTCAATGTGTACCACTGTAGTTGCGGTCACGAAAAATATTCATGACACAGTTATAATTGCCTCATGACAGCCAATGTCAAAGCCAACCACAGTCAGTCTTATCCACACCCCTTCAAGAAAAGTGTTACTCAAAACTCAAGTGTTTTCCGCATACTATTCAGATCAAAAAGACGTCTGAAAGCACTTGTTAGAGGCACGAAACTTTTGCATTATGTAATTACCCATTACCATCATGATCCAAGAAGTATTTAATTAATAAATCGTCAACCAGACCTAACTGTTTTATATATATAAATATAGGTTTTACGTGTTTGCACACATGAAATCAGGAAGCAACATAACACACACATGACGTTTTACTGAGATTTCTTAATACTATAGACGTTCTGTGGTAAAATTCCATTACTCCATCTACCCTTGTAAAACTAATCCCGTCCGAACAGGGCTAAAGATGAACTACTTACCATTCAGACTGCATTGATCTGGTTTCTCCTATGTGTGGATCTTCAGGTGTCGCTTCAGGTTAGTTTTAATAGAGAAACTTTTCCCGCACTGATCACACGTGTGTGTCTTCTCTCCAGTGTGGATCCTCTCATGTTTTTTCAGAGTTGCTGACACACTGAATCTCTTGTCACAGTGTGAACACTTGTAAGGTTTTTCTCCAGTGAGGATCCTCTCATGTCTTTTCAGATCTGTCAACTGATTGAATCTCTTGTCGCAGTGTGAACACTTGTAAGGTTTTTCTCCAGTGTGAATTCTCTGGTGTTGTTTTAAATGGCTTGCTGTAGTAAAAGTCTTCTCACACTCAAAGCACAAGTACTCTTTCACACCAGTGTGAGTTTTCTCATGCGTTTGTACATATTGCAGCCAAGAAAAACTCTTTCCACACACAGAACATGAATACGGCTTCTCCTTTGAATGAACTGTCAGGTGTCTCTTCAGGTGATGTTGGAAAAGGAATGTTTTGCCGCATCGATCACATGTGAACGGCCTCTCTCCGCTGTGGATCCTCGTGTGAATTTTAAAACTTGATTTCTGTGGGAAACTCTTCCCACACTGATCACATGTGAACGGCTTCTCTCCTGTGTGGATCCACATGTGTCCCTTAAGTTGTGATGAATTACAGAAACTCTTCCCACATTGATGGCATACATATGGCTTCTCGACTGTATGAATTCGCATGTGAACAAGACTTTGTTTGGTTGTGAAACTCTTTCCACACTGAGTGCAGGTCGTAGATTTATTGGCTCTTCTTTTCTTTAAAAATGTCTTTTTAGTCTTTGAGCGACTCAAATGTTTTCCTCCAGGGTTGACATGATGTTCCTCCTCCACTTCTCTCAGTTCTTCACTCTCCTCCTCCACTTCAATCAGTTCTTCACTCTCCTCGCTCTCTTCCATCAGGTCTGACATGAAAGAAAAAATGTTTTTCTTTAATTTAATTTTCAGTGCATCAAAAGAACTCAAAGAGAGAACTGTGAAGTGAAATTATCCTTCCCTGAAAGTTTCCAATAAAAAGTAAAAAGTTTACAATATATGTTCCAACCCGGAGTTCCTTCCGGTTTCATTTAGTGTGTGCATTTGTGATTGTATGTGTGTGTGTGTGTGATTGCAGGGTGGAGTTGAGTGACAGTTGCTGAGGATTATTTGTGACCAGCGGCCTGATAAGAAGACTTTTCCAGCGTGCCGGCATTTGGGCTTGAGACATCTCAGGGTACGTTTATACAACAACGATACACTTAAAACGGAGAAGGGTTTCTTATTGTGACGGGTTAGATCCCGCCCTATTATTTGTGGCCATCAAGAGTGATGGATGTGACAGCCTATTGGCAGCCGTCCCTGGCCTATTTAAGGCATGCAGTGTATGCATTATTGCCACGATCGCTTCTAACCCTAGCTAGGTTTTGGCTAGGATTGGTGCGACCTTGCTTTTGGGTGCAGGCTGTCTGTTCTGGTGTAACCTTCCATCTTACGCCCACCATTCAACCAGAAAGAAGTCGTATAACCATTTCAATAACTCTGAAGCTGTTCAGTTAAGCTAAAAACTGCATAATGTCCCTTTAAAGTGTGACATGCTGGTAATTCTGCACACTAGCCCCACCCTTTGTCATATTGCCACCAGCAGTCGGTTAACTATCTTTGGACTTGTTTTCTGTGATTTAATCTGTTTGTCCAATTACAGGTCCTTCTAAAAAAATTAGCAGTTGAAAAATTAAAAAAGTTCATTATTTTCCATAATGTAATGATAACAAATTAAACTTTCATATATTTTAGATTCATTGCACACCACCTGAAATATTTCAGGTCTTTTATTGTTTTAATACTGATGATTTTGGCATACAGCTCATGAAAACCCAAAATTCCTGTCTCAAAAAATTAGCATATCATGAAAAGGGGCTCTAAACGAGCTATTAACAGAATCATCTGAATCAACTAATTAACTCTAAAACCCTGCAAAAGATTCCTGAGGCTTTTAAAAACTCCCAGCCTGTTTCATTACACTCTAAAAAATGCAGGGTTAAAAAATAACCCAACCTTAACCACGCCGCTGGGTCACTATAGGACAGAACACGCGCTGGGTTGGTTTGACCCAAGTGCTGGGTTTTTCCATTTAACCCATATGGTTGGGTCATTAATTTGACCCAACCAGTGGGTGAAATTGACCATCTCGCTGGGTTAAGTCTTACTCATGTGCTGGGTTATTTCCTGTATCATTGCCTTATTAAAATTAGTAACAAATATTTTTTATATTACTAATGTAAAATAATGATTGTCTCTGTAATACAATAAACCAGAGAGGCGACTGTGTATGTGATTTAAAATTTTTTTTTTTTTTTTTTTTTACAATTTTAATACATCTTTAATATTTTTTTGTAAACAATTATTACAATTATACAATGTATACTCATTCTAAGATAAAAAAAATAACATAACAGTTCATTAAGTAAGGTCTTTATACACCACTGAAAACATAGTTATGTATATGATATTGTATTTCTGTTAACAGATCCTCCTAAATACAGTATTACACAATGCACCTTTAAAAGTCAATAAGCAACTCATTTGAACTCTTATACGATTTTATTTATTAAGATGTGTTGATTTATTAAGAATAGCTACAAACATTTACAATGCGACTAAATATCACAGAGTTTTCCTCAAATTTGACAGAGGACGATTCTTTTCCATTAATTTGATACACTCCTTCGTGTAATTAACATGAAAAACAAAATAAAACTTTGAAACCAAGATCACCAGCCTCCAGCAAAGACTCGGTCTCGATGACGTGGCCTGGAACAATGGCAACGGTCTGACGTGTCCCCCTCGTCGCATCCCTGATGCTCCAGTCATTTTGTAAATATTCATCCATGTTGGTCCCCAACTGTTGATTAGACACAATCACTTAGAGTGTTGCAATATAACTGACATGCAAGTTTTTTGTGAAAGTATTTATATTTTTTTATTGCAAACATTACCAAATATGGCCAAATGTGAAAAACAAACAAAATGTATATTTACACATCTAAATAGACATTTAGCAGTCTAATGGGATTCAGGATAAGACAAAAACACGATTTGGAAAATGGATTCATGATGTACTCGCTCATTATAAACATTTTGTAAATTTTGAACACAAAAAAAGTTATGGACTGCAGCTTTAAAAATTAACAAAAATCTATAAAAAAAAAAATGCTATTTTATGTTGCAAACAGATATTGCACCTTTACATATTCTAAACCTAAATTAATTTCATAGTTATCAAGCATATCAAACGTCTACCCTTATTGAAGTAGAAACACTAAAGCAACTTACAGGTTGCATGTCAAGGACCTCTGAGCCTCTGTGGTGGGTCTGAAGCCCTCTCCTCCTCTCCTGTAACGTTAGATGGATGGAGGAAGCAGAGTTTGCAGGACCTTTAAAGCCAGCACCTAAACAATATGAGCATAATACATAAAGTTGCATTAACATTTAAATAGTATGCTGTATATAACAATTCATATTTCTAAAGTAGCATTTCTGACTTTTCTGCCCTGGTGTTTAAAATGGCGCTGTTGTGACAATAGCAAAAACTATTTATTGGCCTCAAACATCGCGCACACTTGATCCATGACCACTGTCTTAGTAGTAACGTTACTAAACTATTCTTAGTAGGCCTAGGTCCTAACAACTTGTAATGGGTTCAGGGCGAGAACATGCTTAATATGAAATCGATTTATTTCTCATTACCTCAGTCGCCGTTTGTAAAGATTGCACGTCAGACGTCATACAATTATTATTTTATTTTTTTGGTAAAAACGATCCTGGTTCCGACATAGACATTACAGAAGAAACACGCAGACTGTGCTGGAACTTACCCCCGTCGCTTCCTCTGACGAGAATTTCTTAAATGTGCCAGCAGACTTTCCACACAGACTAGACTTTTTTCCCGCAGTTTTTACGTACGAGCCCTAGGGACATAAACGGACATAAACATAATGCGCGTGCACGGGTTCATTCAAAACGCTTTCCTCGCTTTTAATTACTAAACGTCCACAATAAATACGATATTTACGTAATGAAATTACAATTTAAACTGCATATTTCATTAAGGCTGCTGATATAGCTGGTTTACAACGTGGCATTTTGTCAAAAAATCTAACCGGCTAGCTGTTACTAATGTTTTACAGAATAAATACGTTATACCCCTCACACTTCCATATCAAAGACTGTATGCTGAACAGTGAAATTATTATTGTTAAAAATATTGGTAAACATATTAACTTACCATAAAACACTGCCTGCTCCGACCTCCGAGTGAAGTCCTCCTCGAGTCAGAAGTGAAGAATCCAGAAAGTTCCGCAAAGAATAAACCGGTTGCTGGGTCAAAATAACCCAACCAGCTGTTTATTTGTGAATTACCCCCTTACAACTCATTTGACCCAGCATGAGCAACCCAATAATGTGTTTACAGTGCCCCAAACAACCCAGCATTTTGACCCAGCACAATCAACCCAACAATTTGTTTACAGAAACAACCCAGCATTTTTTTGAGTGTACTCAAAACCGCAATCATGGGTAAGACTGCCGACCTGACTGCTGTCCAGAAGGCCATCATTGACACCCTCAAGCAAGAGGGTAAGACAGAAAGAAATTTCTGAACAAATAGGCTGTTCCCAGAGTGCTGTATCAAGGCACCTCAGTGGGAAGTCTGTGGGAAGGAAAAAGTGTGTCAAAAAACGCTGCACAATGAGAAGAGGTGACCGGACCCTGAGGAAGATTGTGGATAAGGACCGATTCCAGACCTTGGGGGACCTGCGGAAGCAGTGGACTGAGTCTGGAGTAGAAACATCCAGAGCCACCGTGCACAGGCGTGTGCAGGAAATGGGCTACAGGTGCCGCATTCCCCAGGTCAAGCCACTTTTGAACCAGAAACAGCGGCAGAAGCGCCTGACCTGGGCTACAGAGAAGCAGCACTGGACTGTTGCTCAGTTTTGCATGTCATTCGGAAATCAAGGTGCCAGAGTCTGGAGGAAGACTGGGGAGAAGGAAATGCCAAAATGCCTGAAGTCCAGTGTCAAGTACCCACAGTCAGTGATGGTCTGGGGTGCCATGTCAGCTGCTGGTGTTGGTGCACTGTGTTTTATCAAGGGCAGGGTCAATGCAGCTAGCTATCAGGAGATTTTGGAGCACTTCATGCTTCCATCTGCTGAAAAGCTTTATGGAGATGAATATTTCATTTTTCAGCATGACCTGGCACCTGCTCACAGTGCCAAAACCACTGGTAAATGGTTTACTGACCATGGTATTACTGTGCTCAATTGGCCTGCCAACTCTCCTGACCTGAACCCCATAGAGAATCTGTGGGATATTGTGAAGAGAAAGTTGAGAGACGCAAGACCCAACACTCTGGATGAGCTTAAGGCCGCTATCGAAGCATCCTGGGCCTCCATAACACCTCAGCAGTGCCACAGGCTGATTGCCTCCATGCCACGCCGCATTGAAGGAGTCATTTCTGCAAAAGGATTCCCGACCAAGTATTGAGTGCATAACTGAACATAATTATTTGAAGGTTGACTTTTTTTTTTTTGGTTGGCTGTTATTTGATGTAGATAGTTAGTTTGTATTTAGATACAACTTGTTACTATACTGATACTACTTGTTACTTCAATAAATTGGAACATTTTAAGCTTGTTACATATTTCATTAGCATTGTGTCGGTGCGATGGGGGCAGTGGGGCTTGAAAATTCCCCCTTGTCCAAAGTGGGGAATGACCGAAAAAGTTTGAGAACCACTGGATTAAACATAGGTCATTAACAACTCTCAAGAGTGCTGATTCCGTACTATAACCTGCCCTAAAACCGGACTGAAATTTATCTCATGTTTACTTAAAAATGACATCGGCTGTGCTTAAACCACCTTCTCTAAAACCTTTGAC